GCAGAGAGCATTTAGTGAGCGCTCCAGACATGTTAGCTGTTGCCTTCATCTTAATATAGTTAATTTCACAGTGTTTTCCTCTTGACCTTCGAGGGCAGGGGCTGTGTCTTTCTTGCTCAAAAGACTCTCCAGAGAGGTGATTATTCATAATTGTTGAATGGATGGGTGGCCACATTTCAATGATTTATTGTTCTGATAGGCAAGTGACTTTTCTAAAGTGAAAAATCCTGAACCTTACCGAAGGTCCCACAGTGCCAGTATGCAGTAGGAGTTCAGGGTGTGTCAACTGTGTGAACTGAGTCTATCATAGATACTGATGGATGTATTTAATAAATGTTTAAATAAATAAAACTGAGGCTCTGAATATTTATTGATTGAGTTCATGGATCACCACTGCAAATAACCACTGCCTTGTTGTGCATCAGTTTTCTCATCTGTAAAGTGGGAATCACAAAGATCCTGAGGGCAGCAAGAGCAGTGGTCTGAGAAAGACTCCTGGACAAAGGCTACTCCTATAGCCTCAAAAGAAGAGTAAGGCCCGGCTGGCTCAGTGGTTGAGCCTCAACCTATGAACCAGGAGGCCATGGTTTGACTCCAGGTCAGGGCACGTGACTGGGTTGCTGGCTCAATCCTGGGTGTGGGGAGTGCGGAAGCAACCGATCAACAATTCTCTCTCATCACTGATGTTTCTCCCTCTCTTCTCCCTCTCCCTTCCGCTCTGAAATCAATAAAAATATTTTAAAGATGAGTAAGACTCAAGCAAATAGCAAGAAAATCAGGAAGGAACTCCAGACAGAAGGAATGGGAAGGGTGAAGGTATGGCAGGGGCTGACAAAGGAGGTTCGCACAGAGGACCCCATGTGGCTGGGGCATGGTGAGGGGGGACAGCAGGAGTGAAGCTGGAGGGGCTCTGAGGACTTTCTCTTATGGGCCATGGGAAGCCACCAAAGAGAGAGAGGGAGAGAGGGAGAGAGAGAGAGAGAGAGAGAGAGAGAGAGAGAGAGAGAGAGAGAGATTAATTCCTTGGGGCTCTCTCCTGAGTGAGATGTGGGGCAGAGGCAACCAGGGAGGGCCGGGCCGGTCTGCAGCCGGGATATGTATCAGGCCTGGGAGCCCCGGATGTGGACCCAACTCGGCCTCAGCTCCCATCTGTGCACATAAATGAGCAAGATTTATTGGGGTTATGTGCACTTCCAGGACCTGACTGCCTGGATGTGGTCTAGAAGCAGGTACAGACTTTGGGTGCATGGGACCCTCGGCCCTGCAAACTCCTCACCCTGTGGAGAGAGGTAGGACCAAGGGAGCCAGAACGGGACCAGCCCCAGAGGTCCCCTTGCCAGGGCACTGCGGTATCACCTCGCCTTTACCTGCTTCCTGGGCCTCTCTCCTCCCTTTAATCATCTCTGTTATTTAATCTGTGGGCCGCTGATCTATGAACTCTGGCCGGGGCCACTGGTGCCTTTGCCAAGGGCATGAATGCCTGTTTCCCTGGGCCTCCGCCACACCCTCCACCAGGACCTTGTCATCCCTCTGCCAGGCTTCCATTGCACCTGCCACCTGGGCTTGTCCCACTCAGAGGTCCGCCTGGCCGTTGGCTATTATGTTGGGCTCCCAATGGGGGCAGGTGATTTTGAATGGGCTGTTAGGCTGCTGGGCTGCCAGGGAGCGAAGTTCCCGGGCATCAGGCTCTTCTGAGAGTTGAGAGCTGTGCTCTGGTCCTGGGCTGTGGTAGGAAGTGTCTGGGCTGAGCCTCAGTACACCATCCTCACCACCAAGGATGCACCATGGACCCCTTAAGGCTGCCCCCTATCTCCGCATTCACTCCTGCCCTGCGTGACCTTTGGTGGCATATTGCCAAAGGCCCTCGCAGACCAGGTCTGTGCTCACAGGCCTTTGGTGGCTTCCCATGGCCCACAAGAGACCATGACCTTTGTCATCCCCTGCCATACCTTCACCCTTCCTGTTCCCTCTGTCTGGAGTTCTTTCCTGATTTCCTTGCTATTTACTTGAGTCTTACTCATCTTTTAAAAAAAATATATTTATTGATTTCAGAGCAGAAGGGAGAGGGAGGAGAGAGGGAGAAACATCAGCAATGAGAGAGAACTGTTGATTGGTTGCTTCCTACGCTTCCCACACGTGCAACCCAGACACGTGTCCTGACCGGGAATCAAACCATGACTTTCTGGTTCATAGGTCGAGGCTCAACCACTGAGCCACGCCAGCCGGGCCTTAATCATCTTTAGAGGCTACTCCTATTGCCTATCACGTGCCTGGACAGCCATTTGCTGCTTTGACATCCAGGATTCCAAGACCTACGTTCCCCTCAGACCAGTAACCAACCCCGAGCCAGCTTTTCCCAAGAGCAGGCTTGGAAGGAGCCAAGACTCAGTAAATGATTTTAGTAAGGTTGTGACCTTACTCAAAAGGTCACACAGCAAGTGAGTGGTGGCATCAGGATTTGAACTGAGCCTATCATACATACGTATGTATGTATTTAATAAATATTTATTGATTGAACTCATGAATCACTATTGCATATAACCTTGAACAAGTCTCTCTCAGAGCCTCAGTTTTATTTTATTTATAACTACTGAGGCTATGGGAGTAGCCTTTGTCCAGGAGTCTTTCTCCGACCACTGCTCTTGCCCCCAACCAGCCCCAGGCTCACTCCTCTCAGGTCTTTCAATGGTTTGCCCATCAGCAGGCCTGTTGTGAGCCCAGCACTGGAACTTAACTGCTTAGTATTCATACCAGTCCTGCAAGGTAGGGACTATTGTTTGCCATTTTACACTCTTAAAAACAAAATAAGCCCTAACTGGTTTGGCGCAGTGGATAGAGAGTCGGCTTGCTGACTAACGGGTCCCAGGTTCGATTCCAGTCAAGGCCATGTACCTTGGTTTCGGGTACATCCCCAGTAGAGGGTGTGCAGGAGGCAGCTGATCGATGTTTCTCTCTCATCAATGTTTCTAACTCTCTATCCCTCTCTCTTCCTCTCTGTAAAAAAGTCAATAAAATATTAAAAAAAATAAAACCGAGGCTCCAAAAGGGGACAAAGATGACAAGGTTATACACAGTAGTGAACCATGAATTCAATCAATAAATATTTATTAAATACATACATATGTATGTGTGATAGTTCAAATCCTGATGCCACCACTTACTTGCTGTGTGACCTTAGGCAAGTCAGTTGCCTTCTCTGTGCATCAGTTTCCTCACCTGTAAAGTGGGAATCACAAAGTACCGGTGTCATAGGGTTGTTGTGAGGATGAAACAAGTTACTCCGGGTGAAGGGCCAGTATGCAGTAGGAGCTTAGTGTGTGTCAACACGTTGTTCTCCCAGGAGTGGGTCGGGGATGGCTTCGTGCACAAGGCAGGGTTAACAGTGTCTAGATTATTATTTTTCAGTTGCTGGCTCAGCTCACAAGTGGCCACTTCTAGCAGAGGCCAGTCAGGAGGAAAGGGACAGCCTGCTCACGAGGGGATTTGGCAGAGATGGAGGCTGGGGGTATAGGCAGCTGCGAGCAGGGGTGGCCCTAGTGGCTGGCTGTCCCTGGGACTCCGGTGGGCTGCTTCTCTGGCCCACCCAGTCCTAGAGCTCTGGGCTTCTTCAGCCAGAGCAGTGTTGAGCCACGTCTACTGGGACTCCACGCAAGGCCCAAGGTGAAGGGCAAGGCCAGGGCCAGGCTGTGGCTCTACCAGAGCACCGGTCACTGCCCACAAGGATGCACACAGCTGTGGAATCCATCACGTAGCTCTCCCTGGAGAGACGTGCCCTAGGCCTTCCAGCAGGCCTTGGCGGCACAGGAGGCTGGAGCAGAAGGGAGTCTTGGCTCCTTCCAAGCCTGCTCTTGGGAAAAGCTGCCTCATGGTTGGTTACTGGTCTGAGGGGAACGTAGGTCTTGGAATCCTGGATGTCAAAGCTACCAATGGCTGTCCAGGCACGTGATAGGCAAAAGCCCAGAGAGGGTGGGCTAGCAGCCAGAGATGCCCAGCAAGGGCACAAGGAGTAAAACCCAGGGCTCTGGTCACCTCCTCCCCCTTCCTGTGTCCCCCAACTTCCAAGCAGCCCCTTCCTAAGAGGTGCCTGCCACCCCTGCCTCAGCCAAGATGAAATGCCAGAATATAGTCTGGCTAGCGTGGCTTAGTGGCTGAGCATCGACCTGTGAACCAGGAGGTCACCGTTCGATTCCCAGTCAAGGCACATGCCTGTGTTTTGGGTTCAATCCCCAGCAGAGGACACGCAGGAAGCAATCACTGATTCTCTCTCATCATTGATGTTTCTTTCTCTCTCTCTCTCTCTCTCTCTCTCTCTCTCTCTCTCTCTCTCTCTCTCTCTCTCTCTCTTCCTTCCTCTCTGAAATCAATAACAACATATTTTTAAAAAGCAATACCAGAATACATTTCACCATTTATTACAAACACAAGTTTATAGGCAAATGACTGAAAATCTAAAAAAAAATACATTACAATAAATAATGGGAATTCTCCAAGTTCTTAGAGCAAATAAGTTATATACAGACAGGTGAAGCAGAACAGGCCCTTCTCACCAGGAGTGTCCCAAGGGTCTGAGGGTACAGGACCGAGAGAGGGGGAGCTGGAGGGGACAGATGAAGGCGGGGGTGGAGGGGAGGACACCAGCCATTGGGCCTGCTTCGGTGTGCGCGTCCATCACTGTGCATCGCTCCCGGCGTGTAGCCAACAGACAGGACACCTCTCAGGACGTGGCCTCCCGGGCAGTCCTTTTCAGCAGGGAGGTGGGACCAGAGCCAGAGCAGGAGGCTGCGCTGCAGCCTGGAGCTGAAGGCGTTGCGGGGCAGTGTGAGGGCTCAGAGCTGCCTTGAGGGGGCTCCCTCACGAGGGCGAGGAGGCCACAGCATGTGCCCATCCAGCAGGCGGGCTTCCTGGTCCAGGAAGCAGGTGGAGTCTTTCCTGTCCTGGGCTGCCCTTCTCCTCCCCTCTCCACATGGGCTACCTTCCCAGAGTCTCTCCAGCGCCCAGCACTATCTCTTCTGCTGCCTGGCGTGTGTAGGCCTGGTCTCCCTCGTTGCCTCCCGCTGCCTCCTAGCAAAGCGGATTTTGGCAGAAGAAATGTCCCTGGAATGAGAGGGGTCAAGTTAGCATCGCAGGAGATAGGGATCGCCCAGGAATTCCCTGTGAGAGGCAGCGGTAGGTAGTAGGGACTTACTTTAAATTTATTTTTTTTTTTAAAAATATATCTTATTGATTTTTTACAGAGAGGAAGAGAGAGGGATAGAGAACTAGAAATATCGATGAGACAGAATCATCGATCAGCTGTCTCCTGCACACTCCCTACTGGGGATGTGCCTGCAACCAAGGCACATGCCCTTGACAGGAATCGAACCTGGGACCTTTCAGGCCGCAGGTCGACGCTCTATCCACTGAGCCAAACCGGTTTTGGCAGGGACTACATTCTTTAATCATGGCTGCCCTGGGTCAGAAGGTGGCCGCTGACCCTGAACACAAGGTCTAGAAGCTTCTTGCCCTCAGGGGCTTGGACAAAGCTGATGTTCCATATACAGCGCAGCTGGAATGGCCGGATAGCCAAGAAGAGCCCAGCGTCTCTTTCCCAGGATCTGCCTTCCTACTTCCACACCTTCCCGCTCAGCTGCTCACCCCAATGCCACCCACTACAGTTCCCATGTCCAGTTCCAGACAAACCGGGTCCTAGCTGCCCCTTGAACCTGACTGAGCCCCTTGCATGGACTTGTGTCATTCAGGTAGCCTCGTCCTGGCTCAAAACATTGGAGCCTGGAAGCTAGGAGGCTGGCTTCAGTTCCCGCTGTGCGAACGTGGGTAAGTGTCTCCACCTCTCTGAGCCCCTTTCTGGGCCTGTGAGATAGAAAGAGCCCTGAACTGTTGTCAGGAGGAGTACAGGTTGGCTAAGCAAGCTCTCTGCCTGCTTTGAAGGGCCATGTCTTGTTTTGATTTTTGCACCCTAAGACAGTTCCTAAGTATATGCTGGGTCCTATCCATCTCACCACCTGGCCTTTTCTCCTATGTTTCTGCCTGCCCACCAAGACCAGAACCCGAGGCCACGCTGGGCCGAGCCCTGGCTGGCCCCAAGGAGCCATCTTTCCAGAGGTAGAATGGCTAACACCCTCAGGACTCCCGCTGGGGGCAGGTGCTTCCTTATGTCAAATCATCTGACCCCAACCCCATGAGAGAGGTAGCCCCTGTTTCAAAACAGGAACTTAAAGCACAGGCAAGTGACAAACCCAAGGTCACAAAGCTCGATTGTGGCAGGGCTTGCGTTCAAATCAGGCAGTCCTGGCTCAGAAGCTGCCCCGTCGCCACCCTGCTGCATGGCCAACAAGGGGCTTTGTTCTCAAGTCAGTTTGGTTGTTCAAACATTCATGGGCAGCTCTGTGAGCAGACTCTGAGCTGAGCCATGCTGAGGCCACCACAGGTGGGATCCAGTCTGGGACGGAGGAAGGAGCAGGCTGGGTGGTTGGACCCCTGCATATGGTTGATGCTCAATTAAGACACAGCCTGAACACTTCCAGAGTCCAGAACCTTCAGGCTCTAAAAAGGCAACTTCCAGGCATGGCAGTTAAAAGCTCGGGCTCTGGAGTCAACCTGAGGCCAGACTGCTGTGTGACCTTGGGAAAGTATCTTCACCTCTCTGAGCCCCAGATTTCTTAACTGTCCAATGAGGACGCAGTCCTGCCTCTTACAGAGAACAAGAGAAACGTGAGGAAACGTGCCGGACATACAGGAGGCACTGGGTCAGCGCAGTGGCCTTTACCTCAGCCGCTGGAGGAGCTCTCCTGCAGTGGTCCGTGTCTTGCCAGCCTGGGACACGTCTGCAGGGGACCCAAGGCCTGGGTTTGCCTCGGCTTCAGGCCTGAAGGAACAGCATGAGAGCCCAAGTGAGGGGCTATCCAGGGCCCCAAGGCCGCTGGCTGCGGGCCCAGCCCGGCCTCACCCTCTCCCCACCTGCCCTCAGGAGCAGATCCATTTCCACCCTGTGCACCTGGCGCCCTTCCTTCCCAGGCGGGGTGGGGAAAGCTGAGCCACGGGGAACGTGTTCCTAGCTTCAGAGCGGAGCAGCGGGGTGACCGGCTTGCTCAGATCCAGCCACCTACAGCTGAGTGTGGCCCTTTTCAGGAGAAACCAAGGCAGGGCAGAGCGACAGCTTGAGTCTCAGGGGAGGAGGAGTTTTCTTATAAACCACCGTGGGCATGGAGGCTGGGATTGCGAGGCCAATTCCTGCTTTCCCCAAACGCTCTCAGTGGAGGAGGGGAAGAACGAAGCTTCCCACCCTTTTACAGATGGGAAAACTGAGGCCCAAAGAGCTAAGGGATTTGCAAAGCCCCCCAGCGACTTGGTGATGACCTGAGATGGTGACACGGTCTCCCAATTCCAGATGGTACTCCTCCACTGAGAAAGCTCTGAGCCCCCCCGAGCCTCAGGCCTGACTCCAAAGCCCAAGGCTCCCTCTGGCCGGCCGTGTGGACTGACAGGACTAGCCTCTGAGGTCTCCGCTGTTACCTAAGAGAATCCCCCTGCCCGGGAGTGAACATGGCGCTCTGGAAGCCCCCAGAGATGGGCAGTGGGAAGGACTCCGGGGTGACTGGTCCCCTATGGAAGGGACACTATCATGGGCCCAGGGCAGCCTGCTCCTCTCCCCTCTCCCCCCATTTGCCCCTCTGCTCTCTCGCTGGTCTCCCAGACACCTTGCTGTCCTAGGGCAGGTCTGGGCTGGCAGCTGCCCCTGACCCCTGCAGCTGGGTGCCCACTTACCAGGGCCTTCGATGGCAGAAGGTGGCACAGGCAGGGTCTCTGGCACTGGAGCATTCACAGCGCCCTGGCAGAGAGCGGCGCCGGCGTTTTGGCGGGTTTCCCAGGCCGTAAGGAACTGTCTGTCTGTGGGCAGGCAGCCAGTAAGGTAGTGATGTAGAGGGAAAGAGGGAGAGAGGGAGGGAGAGGAAGAGAAGGAGGATTAGATAAATCACTACCATTGACAAGCAGGGGGACGGTCTTCCCTGTACTCTGGGATGGCACGTTGGCAGCAAAAGGTGACCAGCCCCTAACCTCAAGAAATCCCACCACCGGCTCCCACCTGGGTGCCAGGGAGCCCGGACAAGACCTAAGTCCCAACACCCTACACACTTCCCTTCTCTGGGACTCTGCCTCCCCCCAGGAATCTTCCCAGGCCCCCCACCCAGACAGGAACGTGAGCTGATGGAACCAGGCTGTCCCTTATTCTCAAAGGGGCCCACCGCTCGCCCCAGAGGAGGGGAGGAAATGCCATCTCATAAGTAAACAGGCAGGCTCACAGCCAAGCGGCCCCCAGCTGGTCCCCACTTGCCTAGAGAAGTGACGTGTATGTCTTAGAGTTTTTACTTAAAAACAGTGCCAGTGTGTGTGTGTGTGTGTGTGTGTGTGTGCGTGCATGCATGTGTGTCTATGTGCATACCCATGTGTGTGAGATCCATTGGGGTTGATTTCAGAGCAGAGTCTAGCCGAGGTGGGTCAGGGGCAGGGCAGGGGCCCTGTGGCCGGTTGGACCAGCACCTTCGGGTGCCGGAGCTAATTTTAACTGGTGTCTGAGGCTGTAATGACTCCAGGTAGACCCGGCAGGCAGGGACTGGCAGGGTTCCCACCCTGAGCGAGTGTTTGGATGTGGATTAGCTCCACACGCTTACGTGCCGGGCTTCTCTTGTCTTTTGCAATTTGGGGAAGGGAAAAAAACAACCAATGCACACAGAAACTTCAGCGTGAAGTATGCAGTGGCCCGGAGGCAGTGCGGGTGCAGACAGAGCAGACAGCACGGGCCCCCACCCTGGCTCCACCAGGTGACAAAGGGCAGGTTTCTCATCTGTCATTTGGGGACAACAGCGGTGCCTGCCTCAGGGAAGGATTGGAAGGAGTGTGTGTGTGTGTGGGGGGGCATTCATGCGATGATCATGCACGAGCCCTGCTTGGCACAGGGCCCGGCACAGTCCAGACATGGGCGCTGTCATTAATTGTATTATTATTCTTGGAAGATCCTGCCGAGGCAGCATGGCCGAGTGGGTGTGAGTGAGTTCTGGCATCCACTGGACCTCGGATGGAGCTTCCACCTGCCACTTTCTCCTTCCCGTGGGAGCTTGCAGACGGCACCTAACCTCTGTGAGCCCCAGTACCCTGATCTGGAGAAGGAAGCCAGCCCTTCCTTGCTGGGTGTCGTGAGAACTCTCCTGAGACATCCCTCTGTATTGCTCAGGCAGCCTCCCCATGGGAGTGAGACAATTACTGCTAATGATTGACATTGGCCCAGCGCTCCCTTCTGGAGGCCAGGGAGAGCCGTGTTGTGCCCGTTTCCCAGCGTGCCAGCGGCCCCCATCCCCCGCTCCTAGCAGCCCGCCCGGATCCCCACAGTAGCTCACCCGGGAGTGTTCACCCAGATGATGTCCAGGTGGCAGAAGTAGACGCACTCCTTGTCGAGCCAGGAGCTGCAGGAGCAACGCCGAGGCCGCAGGTGGGCGCCTCGGGCGTGGCGCGGGTGCACCGGCTGCTCCTGGGTGGCAGCGGCCTGGCCCTTGCCTGCACGCACAGAAGGGAGAGAGAGGTGGGTCAGGACGCCTGGCACTGCTGGAATAGGGGGACCTGCCAGGCTCCTCCTCCTGCATAATCGAGGAAGTTGGCGCTCTCACTGCTCAGGAGCTCCAGCCCAGCCCGGGGAAGCCTCAGCAGCCGCCCTGTGCCCTCCCTGTGCGGCAGCACCTCTGCACTGGCAGAGCCCCCGCCTGCTGGCCCTGCCGCGGCTGCCGGGGGCTCCCACCCTGTGTGCCCCAGCTAGCTTGTGGGGCACACGGTCCCCCGGGGCGGGGGGGAGACACTGCTGAACAGACCCGGGGCTGCTGCAGCAGGCGAGGCCGGACGGCTCACCTTCGTGCAGGGCCACGAGCAGGGCCAGTGCGAGAGAGCACCAGGCAGTGGGCATGGCAACCATAGCAGCGGAGCGCAGGCTGGACTGGAGCAGGGAGCAGGGAGCAGGGAGTGAGCCTGTTGCCTGCGTCCTGCTGCCAAGCGGAGCCAAGCCGATAGCTCATTGCCTCCGTGCCCTGGCTGCTTATAACTGCTAGGCACTTCCCCGCCCCTGCAGTCCAGCCCTGCCACTGCACCAGCGGCGGGCGGGTGGAGGGCCCAGAGCCAGGGACAACGCCTCCTCCTGGGGCGGCAGGCCCTGCCCAACCTTCACGGTGGTGGGGGGGGTGGACAGGGGAGGGCGGAGGCGGGAGGGAAGGCCCAGCTCCTCCCTCTGAGCTTGGAGTGCGGAGGCTCCCGTGCAACCCCCAGGGACTCCTCCCAGTCCCTAGAACTTCCTCAAATCCACCCCCCAAGTGCCCCAGAGCCCCTCCCCCACTCTCCCAGCGGCTGCTCCCAGGTCTTGCCCCAGCTAAGTGTTTGAAAGGGGAGCAAGAGAAAAACCTGCTCTCTCCTTGGAAAGACCCTGCTGTCCTGCCTGCCTGCTGCCAGCCGAGCTGAGGGTGCCCCTTCTGTGGTGCAGGAGGTGAAGGCCTGCTTATGGCTGTGTGGCCCTGGGCAAGTCAGAGCCCTCTCTGGGCCTGCTTCCCTCGGTGAAGGACACAGCCTACCTCTGACCTCTGACCTCTGACCAGCCTGGAGCTGCCTCATCGTTCCCTCATTCAGGAAGCGCTCCTCTCCCCTCCTCCTACCCCAGGGCCCAGGACAGGAATCTTGGTCCCTCCCAGAACCTTTTCAGCTGTGTAGCCCTGGCTGATACCCATCCTGCACCTCAGTTTCCTTGTTTGCAAAACAAAGCTGAAATGGGGGAATCTCGATGTGTTGGCTCATGGGCTCCATGGAGACTAAGGGGGGCTTCAGAGTCCTTTCCAGGAAGATGCTCTGGGGGCCCACACAAAGCGCCCCTCAAAAGGTCTTTGTGGCTCTCAGTGGCTACTTTCTGCAAATAAAGGCCAGGAGGTGGGGTGCTCCCTGAGGGCGAGCATTCTGCTGCTGCCCCTCTGCTGACTCCTGAGCTGAGCGGTACTGGAGACCAGAGCCGGTGCACTCCTGTTGAGCCACACAGTTTGTGGACTTGGCAGTTGCCCTATGTTCCTGCCCAGGCTGGGCTCAGGGTCCACCTCTCTCAACATCTTCCCAGGGACCCTGTGTCCAGGCTCAGCAGGAAAGGCTCTCGTTTCTGGGAAATCCAGGAGCCCAGGCTCTGGAGCCTGAGTCATCAGATGGTGCTTATCTCCCCAGCAATCTTGAGGTCCAGAACTCCAGAGAAGGCAGGGCCTGGAGCCTGCCTGGCACACAGTAGGAGCCCTCCGAGTGAGTGCACTCGGAAGGAGGCGGGGCAATGAAAGAATAAATGCCTGGCTTTGAGCTGGAGAAATCGGGTCCCAATTAAGCAGCAATTTTGTCATTAGACATTTATGAAGGGGGCATAGATGACCACAGAGAAACTCATGCTTTTTCATAGAGTGTGTTCAGAGTATGCATGTTTGCTCGTGTGTGTGTGTGTGTGTGTATGTGTGTATGCTTATGCGTGCAATCCTAGTAGAGCAGAGGAAGATTCTGATAGGACGGAGGGAGAGATCTTTCAGCCTTATCTTTATTGCCCTGGCTGGGCCAGGCTTCCTCCAGACTGGGCCAGGCTGCAGGCAAAGCAGGAACAAATATTCCTGGGCACCTACTGTGTGCTCAGAACACTTTCCTTTCCCCTCATCACTACCCAGGAGGCAGCTGCTCTCACCTGGCTCCCAGCTCCACTGAGGCCCGGGAGGAAGCGGAGCCTGGCTGAGGTCACACAGCGGGTAGATGCAGAGCTGGCTTTGGAACTCCGATCTCTGTCTCCAGGGCAAACCAGTGACTCCCCAGGTGGTGCTCACCCCTACGAGGTGCCTCTCGAAGAATTTAGAAGAGTATTTCTGGAATGAGGTGAGCAATACTATTAGCCTCCGAGAGAATATAAATACAGAATCAAGCAAGCCTGGGGTAGGGGTAGGAGGTGGATACAGACTTTAAACCACTGAACCATGAAGAGAAGAAAGAAGCAAATGCAGATCGTGGGGAGGAGGAGTCAGGATTGGAAGAAAACAAGCAGGAGGCAGATAAAAAGACAGGGAGAGAGAGAGAGAGAGAGAGAGAGAGAGAGAGAGAGAGAGAGAGAGAGAGAGAGAGAGAGAGAGAGAGAGAAAACAAGGAAGCAGAGCGTGGCCAGAAAGAACTCGAGTTTGGAAAGGAAAAGGGAAAGAGCATTGGGAGTGAGAGCGAAGGTTCTAACGTGTCTAATCTTTACACAAATGCAAAGTGCCTGCTCGGGACAATAGGGAACCAGAGGCTTCGAGTCTGGGAAACACAATAGAAGAATTAAACAGAGCAGGAGACAGGATCCCTCTCTGGATGACGACAGGGCAGGGGGTGGCAACCCAGCTTGGCAGGGTGAGCGCAGGGAGCTGTGCTGGACTTATTTCCCTTTTTCCCTGCCCTCAGCTCCAGGTGAGTTGGGCATGCAGGGCTCCTGTGAAATGCAGAGGCCTGGCCCAAGGAACCTGAGCGACCCCAGGTCTCAGGGGTTAGCTCTACCCCACTGGCAAGAGAAATTAAGCGGAGTAAAAATAGCCCCCTAGGCTCTTAGTCTGAGCCCTGAACCTTCACCTCTACCCCTCATGGCTGGCCTGGCTGCTCGGCCTTCCCATTCCATTGCACTGTCCCCACCAACTGCCCCAGCCAGGCACCCTGCTGCACTTTCCGACCCGACCCTGTTCCCTGCCAGAACTAGGATAGGCAGCAGGTCAAAGGGCAGGGATTCCCTGAAGGTCACCATCAGGATTTGGAAGGAATAGTTTTGCACACAAAGTAATTTGTCCTACTTCTGCTTGGTGCAGGCTTCATCCAAGAGAGAGAGAGATTTGCCCTGGCCAGGTGGCTCAGTTGGTTAGAATGCCATCTCATATACCAAAAGGTTGTGAGTTCAATCCCCCGTCGGGGCAATGAGAGGCCACCAATTGATGCTTCTCTCTCATACTGATGTTTCTCTCTTCCCTCCTCTCTTTCTAAAATCAATAAACATATCCTCAGGTGAGGATAAAAAAAAAGGGGGGGGGGGACTTACAGGGGAGGGCGGGCTGGCATATTTCTGGGTGAGACGCTATGCTAGGTACTGCCCGCTGGAATCCTCCGCGTCCTCACTCCCATTTTCTGGATGAGATAACTGTGCCTAAGAGAAGGAGCAACATTGTCATGGCAGCGATGGGGCCACACTCATTCTCTTGCTGCTAATCCAGCCCCACCCTTTCCAGCCCCAGGGTCCAAGTAGAGTGGAAACTCTGGGTCTATTTGGGATGGACTGCCAGGAAGGACCAGGGCACTGGGGCAGGGTAGGCAGGCCATTTGCCTGTGTATCCCAAAACTCTCTCTACCACACCTGCACTGAGAGTACATGTGGGCCCATCAGCAGCTGTCCAGCAGCCATGGACACTGTGTGGAGTGGGGGGTGCACAGGACAAGGATTACATGTCCTGGGGGTGGTGCCCACAGGGAGGCGTGTGCTGGAGCAGGAGGCTGGCCCAGCAGGAGCAACGAACTTCTATCCCTGCTGTGCTGTTCATGCTGTGTGGCCTTGAGCAAGCCCTGTTCTTTCCCTGGAAAACTTTCCCGTCTTCCCATTGACTATGAGGGGCATGGACTCCCAGCATGGACTGCCTATGACTTTCACAACCAGCCTGACCTGAGTTTAGAGGTCCCCAAGTCTGAGCCCTGCAGACTGTGCTGTGCCTGTGCCTCCCGGCTGGGGACCCTCTGCTCTCTCCCCTCTGGAAAACCAGTCGCGTTCCCCTTGCCACCTGCCCCCCCCCCCCCCCCCCCCAGATTTCAGGAAGTTCTGTTTGCAGCCCTGATGGAAGGGACACAGTGTCTTGGTCACAGGTACATACCGTGCAGGCAGCTTAGTAGAGCGAGCAGCTGGGAAGATGGGTCTGGCGAGGGCAGATGTCTGCAGCCCCGGGGAATGGGGGCCCGGGGAGGGTATGGCCCTGGAGCCGGCCTGGGTTGGGAACTTAAGGAATGAGGGAGTTCAGACATTCCCATCAACACTTGTCCCCAAATTATGCCCCCAAGGCTGTGGGTCAAGGCTTCCCCCACTAGGGCCTGAGGACACTCAGCCCTGGGGCCTCTTTCTGGTGGGTGGTCTGGGCCTCCTGCCAACAGCCACAGCTCACCCCACGCCTGCAGGGCCTGGCACCACCCACACCATTGTCCTGCACTGGGTCTCCACAAGGGCAGTCTCAGCCCCGTGGGACCATCTGTCCTGGACTCTACGGCTTCCCTCAGAGGACACCCCTTTACGAGTTGTCTTCCTCCTTCTGCCTCAGCCTATTTGGAAAGATTTGTATCTCTCGCATGAACTGTACTTTTAAAGGGATAACTCATGTGCCCTGTTTGTTCTTAATCTAAGGGTGGTCAGAACAGGGTCAGCGAGGCCCAGAGAACCGCTGGAATTTCAGCCGAAAGCAGACATTGTTCACGGAGGCACCGTGGAATCGGGCTGGACGTTTTGAAACGAGAAAACCATCTCAGGGACTCAGTCTCCAGGATGGACGTCTCTGAACTCTGAATTTTTGAGTTACCTCCAAAGAGCAAAGGGCCCATTGCCCACTTAGCCTTTTAGGGGTGTGGGGTCAACATGCATTTCTTGAGGAGTTAATATAGTCCAAGCACTGTGCTAGGCGATTTACATATATTGCCTTCATTAACTGTCACAACATACCTGTTACCATAATTAATTTCAAAAATGAGGAGACAGTCTGGGGACTTGCCCAAGTCTAGGCCAAGGTTAGAAAGCAGACCTGTGTAAGTCCAAAGCCCGAGCCTGAGCCCTGTGCTTTCTTGACTCTCCAACAGTGGGGAACCCTCCTGCAGCAACTGTTCCCCTGGGGTCCCTTCCCTGCTCTTAGGAGACAGAGAGCTCTACGTAGGCTG